ACACAAAATGGGAACTGTTTGCCTCCGTGCAGCTGGCGCGCGTTTTCCGCTAGTCGCAGCTGCTTGGAGCCCAGCGCGCTGGCGGGGCCACGCCCCCGATGAATATTCATGCCCAGTTTGGGCTCAGAGCCCGGGATTTCAAAGCCCCTGAAGGGATTTGAAGGGGCAAAGGAGCTTCCTGATAGGGAGTTAGAAGGAAGGAGGGAGCCGGGCTTTGTCCAGGCTTGCTTTTGAGGACTACAAAGGGGAAGGGTCACGTGGAAAGTCAAATCCCGGGTTGCTAATCTAGGCTAGGTCAAGTTTGCAATGAGAGCTAGCTCCTTCCTCCTTGTAATTTATTGAGTCTTTCAATGTCCTTCCACACAGACAACGTGCAGTTACTGGTGTTTCGCAGACAGGCTCTCTTTCTAGCACTGGGGAGCATGAAAACAACAGAGAGTAGGCTTTTAGCTGGGTTTTAAGCGCTTGCTTCATAACTCTTACCCAGTTAAATGTCTGCGATGACAACGCTCCTTTCTCTCACATGCTTCTGTGCATGGATTTTAATTTGCACACATTCTTTACCTAATCTATGATTTTTAGATATGTCAGTCTGTCATGGGCTAGAAACTTTAAAAAAACACTTTTAAAATACATATACTCTTAGGTCTAGTTGAGACACTAGTAAGTATTAACCATATTTATTAGTACTCACGTTTGGCTATTATTTATATTAGTGGAGAGATTTCCCAGCATAGATCATCTGAAAGAGTAGATAGTTCCCAAATGCATTTCATTGACTTATAATACTAGGTGGGCTTTTGGGTAAGTGGATTCACTGTCTTTTGTTGTTGTTGGGGCCATAAAAGTGTTTACTTTAGAATCCACTTGACAGAAATTACTGGAACTTTATTGAGTGCCTCTATTCCATTAATCCCTCCATTAAGAGAGAGACTCTGCTTTTTACCTACCAATTGGAAATGGAAGAAATAACGTTGGGAAGAAACCAAAGAATAAACAGGAATATATTGTGAAAGCATTTAGCTACCTTAAATGAAGGCAAACCCCTCCCCAACTCCACTTCCATACCAGAGAACTGAACAAACATGCAGATATGAGGGTAGAACCACTGCGAGCAGCCCATGGGATCTTATGGGAAATAGGACAGGGATCAGACAAAGGACATAAACACACATCCCCATAAACTTGGATTCTAGCAATTATAGACAGATACATTTGCCATCAATCCCCAGCAAAGTTCTAGATTGGATAGTTAAGCAAGCAGTTAGTGAGCACTTTAAAAAGGTGACTCCTAAGAACCAGTAAGAGTTTATCAGAACTGGTCAAGCCAACCTTTATTTCCTTTTTATTTATTTTTAAAAAACAAAATGCTTGACTTCATCACAATCCCAAAAACAACGAACATCTTGGCAAAAGGATGACCTACGTCCCCCACCCTTTTTTTTTTTTCTATAATAGACTCAGTATTCAGAATTGCTAAATTGAGTATCTGGTTGCTATATTAGTCTATTCTTGCATTGCTCTAAAGAAATACCTGAGACTGGGTAATTTATCAGAAAAGAGGTTTAATTGGTTCATGGTTCCACAAGCTGTACATAGTGGCATCTGCTCCTGAGGAGGCCTCGGAAAGTTTACAATCATAGGGGAAGGCACGGGGGAGCCAGCATCTTACATAACCAGAGCAAGAGGAAGGCGAGAGGGAGGTGCTACACACTTTTAAACACCCAGACCTAATGAGAACTCTATCAGGAGAATAGCGCGAAGGGGATGGTGCTAAATCATTCTTGAGAAATCCACCTCCATGATCCAACCACCTCCCAGCAGGCTCCACGTCCAACATTAGGGATTACAATTCAACATGAGACTTGGGTGGAGACACAGATCCAAACCATATCAGTAGCCAAAAGAGAATAGACTTTAGAGCCAGAGGGAACTGGGTTTCATTCCAGGCTCGGCAACTTACTATTTGTGTGAGTAGATTGGGCATCTCTGAATCTCAGTTGTCACAACTGCAAAATGAGAATAGAATATCTACTTCATAGATATTAAAGAAAATACATAGGTACCCATAGGTACTCAAGAAAGGGCAATCCTTATTAAGATACAATTCAAAAGGTACAAATACAAACTCAGGAAAGAGAAGAGCTGAATCAAATAGTTCATATAGAAAGAATTTTTTAATTTATCAAAAGCTCAATATGAAATAACAAAGTAACATGTTTCAGGTGCAGACTGAAGTTTATTAATATTAGTACGTGGAAGCCAATAGTAAAAAGTCCCAATTAATTTTACTTGGTCGGATCCTATCTGAAATTCTCTGCCCCCTTTTGGGTAGCACACCTGAAAGGGAGCACGGAAAAATTAAATAACATCCAGGATGATGTAAGACCCAGGAACCACAATATCTGAGAAATAATTGAAAGAAATGGTGTTTTTTATCTAGAAGAGGTTACAAAATGACTGTCTTCTGATATTTGAAGAGCTATGACATAGAATAGGTATAAAGTGGGTTTGTATGGCTCTAAATGGTAGAATTAGGAGACATGATTAGACATTGCTGTGAGATAGATTTTGGACTCAAACATGTAGAAGAGCTGTTCAACGTTGCAATGAGCATTTCTGAAAAATAGTAAGCTCACAATTACTGAAAGAGTTCCTGCAATGGGTAGAATTCAGCTGTCAAGAATAGTGTAGAAGAGATTATGGCATTGGAAAAGAGTGGCCTAGTCTTAGAGTTAGTCATACACCATATACATGCCACCACCCCCAGCAATGGGAGGCTATTACTAATCAATGACAGCTGTCTTCCCTGCTGAGCTAAACTCAGTCTAGCAATCCTTCTCAATACAATGCTCCAAGCCATCCCCACCAATTTATCAGAGTTGACAACCTACCCAACCCAGATGATCCCTTAGTGTCTCTGAGATCCTATAACTTAAAATTTTCCCCCAATAGCATGTCTATAAAATATGTCTGTAAATTAACTAGAAGAAAAGTCATAGTCAAGCACAAAATATTTCCAGGTATCTGTGTACGTTTGTGTGTTTATGTCTGTATATGTACATATATGTGTGATAATATGTACATGGCTACTCCAAAACAGGAATCTTATGGGGGAAATAACATATTGGTCACAGGAGCCCTTAAATAGTGACTCTCATTTATGACATGCCAATAGTTAATGATATTGCTTTCTCCTTCACAAAAATTCAAACATTTTGCTACCCTATCCCACCCCTTATAAAATTTCAAACTTATTTTGTAAGTCGTAACTTTTGGAGCATCACAGGCAGGTTGGTAGAAAATGAGAGAATGTGAGGAATTGGCAGAAATAGTGCCAGAGTACTTGTAAACTCTCAAGAAAAGGGAGGGTTTTTATTAGTAAACAGAAATGGCCAAAGAGAAGCCAATAAGAGACTAAATTACAATGTTCAAAGGTATTAGCAAACTTAGATTCCAAACTAATGGGTGGGCAGCAGCAGATACTCCTGGAAAGAGTCCTGGTTGAAGACAGGTAGGTGGCAGCTCATATTTTGGCTCCCTAGCTAACAATTAAGAAGAACAAAAATTCCAGTTTAACTCCCAAGGAGAGGGAAGAAGGTGCAAAGATAATTCAGTGAAGAAAAG